AAGAGGGTAAGCGAACATCATCTGATACTTTCAAAAAACGTAACTGTCGTTCGATATGTGACGCCTCTGATTGCGAGATATAGCCAACAAATTTTCCATCTACCAAAACGGGATACATCTGAAAAAAAAAAAAAAAAAATGAATTCCTAAAAAAAATGTTGTGCGAGACTATTGTGTTAATTTGAAGCAATTTTATGAGAATATCACAATTACTGAATTTCCGTACAAGTAATTGCCTCACAAGAAATATTAAGTATGCTATGAAACTCTATAAATATTCATTCTAGATTATTACCCTGTTTTTGATTTTCTAACGGTAATCAAGTCGAAGTTTGAAACAAATAGGTTTGGTATAATATGGAAAATAGACACGTACAGATTCTGCAGGCAGTAATATGACGGCGGAATGACCAACCATCCCTAACTCCCCAAGCAACTTCGGTAGTTCACTGGTATTCGAATAATGTGTAACAATGCGTACGCTTGCCGTAACGTGATTCAATAAACCACATGGAGCACCATCAGGAGTATGCACTGGACATATGAAGCCCCAAGCTTCGGGACGTAATTTACGTACATCTGTGGTACGCATTTCCATGAAAAATGCGCCTCGATGGATCGCTCTAAAATAGAATTAACAGACTTCAAAAAAGTTTCTCGATAGAACTTTTTTATAAATACTACTATTTGAAAAAGGAAAGAAAACTTCCATAATTTCTGTTAAACAAATGCAAAAGTCGAAAAAAGATTAAATATAACTTCATAACCAGCATCATAAGCTTCTTGTGAAAGCTCGCGGTTATAGCTGATAACCATTTTTGTAGATGTAACGAATCTGACAGTTAAAGATTGTGTAGACCAAATTTTAGATGAAAAGAAAATCATACCGGAAATGAGAAACAAATCGAAGTTGATTAATTCTTTCAGCAATCACCGAAAATCCATTATTTTGCTGCAATGTCAAGCCTCCCTTGGTGATTAAATTGCCGGTAGCAATGAAATACTCCAAACCTCGCGTTATTTCTCCTGATCGTTGCGTGCCCATCGCACGAATCAACTCATGACTAAAACATATAAGCAAGTTACTTTACAAACAATATGTCTTAGAATAAATTACTGAAGAAAAATTTTAAAACTTTATTTTGAAAGTGAGCATAAACCTCGATAAAAGGAAACTTTCTGCTTTACGCTTTGCTTCGAGTTCAATTTTCCTTCGTGCAATACTCAATGTATTTTCCAAACGTTCTCGTATAATCAAAAGAAGTATATGACCAGATACTGCAGCTTCTTGAAACTGTGGATTATCTGGTGATTCAGCAGCACATTCACCTTTCGCCAGAGCTATCAGTTTCTGAGCCATATACGACAGGAGGAAAAATTTGTCTTCATCATTATCCAGATGTATTGCAACACAAACGCGAAGTAAAAAACGACCAACATCCTGAAACACACTGTTTTTTCTGACCCATTCTTAATCCTTAAATTGCATTTAGGATATAAAAAAAAAATTACTGAAGGATGTATATTACACTTACTTCAGAAATTTCCCATGGACCAACACGATCTTGAGTAGCTACTCGGAACCTAGCACCAATAGCAGTGAGTGCTGTTTTTTGATTCACTACACCATCATCGTTGCATAATGCCAACATTGCAGTTACGCATCCTGAAATAGTATTCTAGTTTCCCATTTACGGACATATCAGTAAAGAATTTGCATATTAACTCTATAACAATATAAAGTAATGATAAAGACAGTCAATTACGAATATATTTTACCTTTCCAAAAGTGATCGCCAGGTCGACATCTGATCATATGTTCCATGATACATTGATCATTCATCGATGTTAATGATTTGATGACGTACATAAATGGCAAATAAAATAATTCACGTCGATACTGAAATATTTTTCATTGAAATCAAATGCACAAGCAAAAAAAAAAAAAAAAAAAAATCAAGTAGATTCGCTAAATTAAATCACATACATTGAATTAAATATTCTGAAGAAAAACTTTGAAGAAAATTTTGATGGACGATCAATCTTCAGCACCCTTTTAAGTGACCAATTATAAAGACAGACAAATTTAATGAATAAATTTATTCAAATGAAAAAATTCAATATGCATTTGTTACTCAATTTCACTTTTTTTTTCTTTTTTTTTGATCGTTTATAAACTCATTCGTTACTACACATTAATTACTATAGATAAGAATTCACTATACAGTACTAAAATAAGAAATGATACCTGGACAATACCACAAACTATACTATCATCACATAAAAAGATGACCAAAAAAGTTTATTAAATTCAATAAATAAAAGGTGATTACCTGCAAAGCAATAACAATAGTACCACTCTCAAGATAATGAAGCGTCATCATAACAGCCGAATAATTTCCTCGTACACATCGAATCATCATCCCATATTGCGTAAATAAAGGTCCTTTTTCACGAAATGAACGCCTTACTATTCCTATCGGATAATTCCGACGATTTGCAACCAAAAGACGTATCACCTATTTATTTGAAAAATTCGATTTAAAATTAGGAAATGGTTTAGAGATTTCAAACTACCAAAACATCTAATTCGTTTTTTTTGGCATACGAGATATTAGAAAACTCTATCATCATGTTACTAAAAAATAGAAAATGATTGGTTGATTAATGCATATAAATAAAATAAAGCCAATTCTTTTAATCATTTCTTCTTTTTCCTATTTTAATCTACCTTTTTACTGGCTTATAATACATTATAATTTGTCACCTAATGTTAGTATTCATAGAGTTAAAATAATATTTGACTACCATACCAAAGCTTCGTAGCAAAAGTAACAATCTTCAATGCAAATCCATGGAAACCAAGACAATGTCTAAAAAAAATTTTTTTTAGAAGAAAATGTTGTACCTTCTCAGTCCCTTTACATATGAAATAACCGCCTTTTTCAGTTCCTTCTTCACCATGCGCTACTAGCTGTTCTCTTGTCAACCATCGCAAATGGCATCTGTTTGATTTCAACATTATGGGAACCTAAAATATATCTTATTTATAGAAAAATGAATTTGTGGATATACAGTTCAACAAGTTTAAGACTACTCTCTGCTACTGTTACAGCATATTGAAAATTTAAAAATGCTAAACGATTTCCCACTTTAATATGTTTTGGTGTATAATCGAAAATGAAAGATTTAATTGTCACTCACAACGCTAACAGAACACCAACTAATAAATAGAAAAAAAAAAAAAAACACAATTAAAAATGTAGTCAAAATAAGCAGTACGACATGGTAAATTTGCAAAAAAAAAAAAATGCTTCCACCAACCTCACCAACAATAACTTCACAAAAATCCATCTTAACGCCATTCAAGCGTATTTCTACGCTTACTTTTAATGGCCCCCTATAGGTTAAGCCACGTTGCCTGCATTCTGAAGGAAACAGTTTTAACGAATCAACCACAGAAGAACCCTATAAGAAAAAGAACATGGAATATTTCACTGAACTTCATACCACAAACAATTCCTTCTTTCACTCTCACCTTCTCTCTAATACATAACCAAGGCAAACCTGCCATATTGTCTCACAGTTTAAATCATCCTTTTTAATCCATCCGTTTAAAAGCAACACATTATTATTAAAGAGCTCATTAATTCATAAAAATAAACTCAACAACAAATCAAAAAAGATTTCTAAGCAATATCGTCTTAGTCGGTCTTATACTATCCTAATGCGATGTATCTGGATGAATTCATGAATTACCTCAGAATTCAAAATTACAATTTACCTGTTTCACTTCAACCATTGGATAACCAAGCTGGGCACTGGTATAACGCAATTCCACAGCTTCTCCAGTTGGAAGTCGGAATTTCTCGGCCGGTACATCTAAAGCAGCCAAATGTATTCCTTTTTCAGCCAAATAATCGAACGATTCCACATGATATGAAGCAACATCACAATCCATTGTTAATTATAATAATAATAATTGCATTCGTATTCCGAATCGAAGAATGAGATAAACACTTCTTAAACAGGCAAACACAAATGTCATATAGCTAATGCAACCTTATTAAATATTTCAAGCTATCCAACTATCTAATCACGCGTTAAAAAATAAATACACTAAAGAATCGAAAAATCAAATCGAGACTGCCCATTTCACAAAAATAAACTTCAACTTTCCGTGATGCTAACTTAAATCTAAACTTGAAAGGGCGGTGCGCATGGTATGATAGGCCTAAAGGATAGCATCGATTCTGCAGCATATATCACTTCCCAATACCTGATAATAACTCCGCACAGACCCTGGTATAGCTTTAAGTATAATAACTCCGCACAATCTCTGGTATAGCTTTAAGTTTAACTGACAAGCAAAAACTCGACCAAATATTCAGATTTCATTTTGTCTCACGCTCAGTTCCAAATTTTCAGTATTAAAGAAGAAATCTAAAGTGTAGCGCCTTTTCACCCCTTTAAATTTCGATTCCATATATCCACTACCATTAGAGCCTTACTGCTTCAACAGAAACTGAATATATTTATTAATACTTGGAAAGTAGTATAGAGATTCACACAAGAAAGGTTTTCTTGTTGATTTAACTGCAGTTTGCGTACACCCGTATATATGTGCAAGTATGAGTAAGCTTACATTACCATGTATCAGATACACTTTTAATAAATATCGGAAAAACTCCAAATTTGAAGGATTTTTGTTGCATATCAGGATAGCCAACCTTTAATATAATTCATTTTTTGAAAATAAATATGTTAATAAACAAACATGTTAATAGTCTGAATTTGTTAGTCTTCTGGAGATCTCAAAAACAAGAGAAAATATTTAAATTGGATTACATCACCAAAGCTAAACATGTACAACGAAAATTTTCAACAAAAAATAAGTCTAAAAAACATATAACATTTAGGAAAAAATTCATCCAGCTTCTCCAAAATTTCGTCAGCCTCTTTTCCTCGTACTTCACGTCAGGCACAATAAACTCAAAGTTTCATGGCGTATACAGAAAATTGAATCTAAAAGTATAAAACAAATAGCATTTTGATCAAACTGGAATAATTGGTCCTTTAATTTCAGTCAATATTAACAATAATGTTTTCCACAAAGCATGATTCTAATAAAAACATACTGTTACTCATTACAAATACCAAGCAACATCAGAATAATACTATGAAAACTTGAAATACCAAATTCCAACAGTAAGAGAAAGAGTGGGAAAAAACGGAAAGAGATTGCCGACAAAGTCATAACTAATAAACAATGTAATAATGCAGACACTCTCACCTGCTAAGAACCTGTGGAAGGCTTGCAATCAAATTGCCGTAACCAGTTGAGTTGTCGTACAACTCAAAAAGCGGTGCGGCTACAAGTTTGTAATTTTTCGGCACAGCAAAAAGTGCTCGTTCCGGAAGTTGAACAAGAAATAATTTCGTTTGCTCTTTTGGCTTTGTAACATGTGCAGGAATATATGGATACTAAACGTTTCACAATTTTTCCTTTTTTTTTTAGACGAATATTATTAGAGCAGAAAAATTTTGATTGAAAATTACATATCCAAGAAAGATCCATCGCAAAAATGAGAATGTAATCTATACCCTAGGTGGATCGAAATTCGGACGCCACCAATTACCAATAACGTCTTCAATAGTCCATAAGTCTTTGGCACCATCTTGTCGTCCTAGTGTCTAGAAATCAAAATGGAAATGTAAGCAAATAAATGTTAGAATGAAACATCAAACAGAACAAAATGGCTGCCAGCATTAAATGGTTCTGTGTTGCTGAACTTATTTAAGAGAAACAAAATAAGAGACAAAAGTCGTACACTCACTTCAGTAAGTAATCGTTTTAACCCTTCAACTTCATCTTCTCCGGGATTTAATTCACCACCTGGCCTAGAAAATGAAATTTTGTATTAACTACATGAGATCACTAGCGAAGCTGATACAATTATCTTTCAGCAATCTACAGAAATGTTAACAAGACTCGAACTTGTTATTCGTGTAACCTTTTTATATTAATGATTTACTCCCTTTCTGAAATTAAAGAAATTTAATTTACTTTTAAGGTAGGTAAGATATGTTTATGAAACTTACAATTTGAAAAACGTAGTACCAATTTGCAATAATAGCACATGAGGTAAGGAATGTTCATGAACGAGCAGAACACCTTCAACCGATCGACGCATTCCAATTTTTTCGTACTCTTCACGCATACGTTGAAATCGTGCCTGCACTGAATGGTCCCGTTCAGCTTGTGGATCTTTCGTCCCAAAGGTGTAATTCGTCAGTGGATACCTCAAATACTTATTTTAACGATTTTATATACATGAAATTGACAAAGTAATTGTTAAAATTCCCAGAAATCATAATCGAATAACTTCATTAAAACCACATTTTCATAATCGTAATTAACAATTACAAATCTTCGCAGATGAAATTATCAATTTATTTCGTTTGGTTTATCAACGCTCCTATCCGCATCATCCTTTCTTTCATCTTCTTGTCTTCTCCAACCCTGTCTTTTTTTTAAAGCAATTTTTGTGTTTCAAAGACTCAAATTACAAAAACTAAATCCCTTTTCGCAACTTGATTGTTGCTAGCAAGAGAAAGAAATGTATTTTTAACATAAACGGAAAATGTTACAAATTGATAGCTCGATCAATGCTATTACGAGTATCATTTGGTTTTTTCAATGTAACTGGAGTGGTAACAACTTTCTGTGGTCGAGTAGCAACAGGCCATCCCGTCCGTGACATCCCCGTCATTTCACTAAAACCATGTTTCTTATTTTAATTCATCAACATTTATCTGCAAACATCAACTTCAACCCTAAGTTATGGGCTCCGTAAAACGAAGTTTCAAACGAATAAAAAATAAGTAGAAGTATAGTGAGTATACCTCGTCAGTTTCAAAATTCATAATTTATAGCTAAACATTCAATTTGCCACTCTAACCTTAGAAGTATTAAGAACAAATAACATTACAAAAACTACCACGCCAAACCCGCACCCGTACCCGCGCATCCGGGAGAATGTTTAACAGTTGAAGGGTACTTGTTGCATGCAACATTTTGTGAAATGCACTGTCCTTAGGGAATTTGTAATTCGTTTCCCGGTTGGTTCATTCATTGTAGAAATTAGTTTATTCACTTTTCAAGTTGAATTCTCGTTATATTATTAATGTTATTATACTGGAAATTTTACGAAAAATTTTTATAAAATTAAAGAATCAGTGGATAGAATCATATGTTATAACTAATATATGTAATGTTTTTCACCAAGTTCTATTTTATATTGCTGATCTAAAAATTCGTTCACACCTGCCATGTAGTAGTTTAAATCATTATTTTGCATGACTGTTTTTCTGTATTTATTTTTTAGGGAAAAAACCTTTTAAAAAAAAAAGTAAGGAAAAGTATTGAATTTCAGATGAATTATAATAACAACTTGCAAAACATTGACGATGAAAATAATATCATACATGAAGATGACACAGAATCAGGAAGTACACAGAGTAGTGAAGATAATCAAAGAGAACGGAGACCTTTCGATGTTTCATTACCACCAACGCATCAGTATTTACGACTAAATGGTATTGTTTTTAAATTTAATTTTGCAAATATATGTATGATATTGTAAAATATTAAATAAGAAGGAAAGCAGACTCTATTATATTCGGAATTTTCAATTGTTTTTTAATCACTGAGCGACTAATTCAATAGGCTGAAAAGTAGCTTAATTGTCAAATGGTTGACAGAATGACTGATGGTACTTCAGCATTGTTAATTTGTTTTAAGGGAATGACAAATAGTTGTGTTAGCATGAAATTTTGTATTTGTGTTTATACAAAAAGATTTCTGTTAGAAGACTGAGCATTAAATGACAGTATGCGGAACTAATTTGATATCTGTATATTTTGCGAAACTAATTTGATATCTATATATTTCTGATCATATGTGAGATGTGACTGATTTACGTAGCTTTAACATTAATTTGTAATTCAAATATTTAACTTGTTTATGGTGATGCCATTGATGATATTAATTACGCTTCATATTCTTCTGTCGTTTGTGAGTAATTAGCGAGTTTATTCTTTCTTTCTTTCTCTGATCAAGCAGCTGATGATGCTAGGATGTGGAATTGTTTACTTCCATTAAAAATTCTAAATAACAGTGACTAAAATGCTATCTTCATTATTTCTTTATTATTAAGGTAATATATGAATTCGTTAATATTGTAGGAGATGATGATTTACCACATACTTTCAAAATGGAAGATGCTGGAAGGGTGATAACAGTGTCGATCTTGGAAATGCCAATTGTTTTGCTACCTACCCAATTGCTCCCATTCCACACTGATTATCCATTACTTGTCTCGCAGCTTCGACACGCAGCTCGAGAAAATGAATATATAGCACTAAAACCGAGATTGGATACCTTTGATACGGATATTGCAACATTAATTCAGGTTTGATATAATACTGAAAATAAAAATAGTAGAAAGATCTAACACGGTTGATCTTTGATAAATTCCAGATAAATATTGGCTAAGATTGGTTGCAGAATACGGATGAAGTTCGTTAGTTCATTTTATTCATTTATTCTGCGTAGAAATTATTCCCGAGCAGGAAGTGATCGAGTCGAGAAATACTTTAGTCAAGTAATTGGATTTGAATTTAATTATATTTAACTATATTTATCAATTTAGGTTCGAAGCTTGCAAGAAAATGACGGTGGAATATCTGTGCAAGCAGTAGGCCGTCAGCGATGCCGAATACTTACCCGACGGTCTGCCATTAACGGGTATTTTTGTCATCTTGTCTTAAAAATTGGGCTGCATTTAGCATTAGAATTATCATTAGAAAAGTTAAACAAATTTACAACTATTTGGTATTTCAGGATGCCATATGGTGAGGTGCTAGTTCTAGAAGAAAAGGAGTTACCAGCTTTGTCTCAAATACTAATGCCCGCTTCATTTGCCAGTATGCGACCTAAAAAAGTAAGTATGACTTTCCTCTTCAAATAAAAGTGATAAATTTAGTCCAGTCAGCTAAAGCGGCATAATTCTGATTTGATAAATGATTCAAATTAAAAAAAAAAAAAAAAAAAAACTACGCTGTTATTCTGCATTTTTCAATCTAAAATGCTATTGTAGCGTAATAAATTAAGGAAGATCAAATGAAAATTGCAATTTTAATGGAGAGTTAATGAAGTGAGAGGAAAGATAATTCTTTTCAACATTTTTTGGGGACAGAATTATATAGTATCTTTAACTCTTCTAGCAACACGAAACAATTATGGTTGATGTAAGCACCAAGTTCTTCATTTGCTAAAAGCAAAAGTTTCTTTAGAGTTTGCGGTATTTTGCGGCAATGACATCACATTCATATCACGTCTTGAAGATATCATTGACGGTAATGCTTTCTCTTATTATATACTTACTCACGTTTTTGACTTGTAATAATTCATGCAACTTTTCAGTTATTTGTTAATTTCAAAAAAAAAAAAGTAATTGAAAAGTTTTGTTTTTAGAAACATTACATTGATGAAATTGCAAAGTGGCTTTATGGTTGGTATGTATATGAAAAAGTTAAACGCGTTCTTTCTCAGGTACATTCTTTTCAAATTTAGTGACTATTGTTGTAATTTTTCGTGAAATTTTTGTGGTAAAATTAATTGAATCGAAACGAGTATTTTGACCAATAGGACTTCAGTATTTTTAATTTAGGGACCGACGGCATTGAGTTATTGGGTAGCTGCAAATTTACCAATTGATATGGAAATGCGTTTACGCTTACTGGATGAGCCGTATACGGATAGAAGATTGAAGGATGAATATGGCATCATTAATCGCGTAAAACATTTTTTGTTTCCAAGTCTTTTTAATGAATTATTAACTGAGATAACAATCAAGGATAAATTTTCTTTGTTGATTATGATATATCTATTCTTATTGATCGGAATAGGTGTATGAAAAGTGTCGTACCTTTCATGGTACACTCATGCTGGTAATATTTTGAATAAGGGAAGTATTGACAGATGCTTTACAGCTACAACTTTTGAGATAAAATGACAAAATTTCTTCAGGAAAGTATAGTGCTACCTTATTTTATCCCTGGTCTCTTTCATATCCCTTCATTTCTTTCAGTTGTGAAGTTAAAATGAGGCCGACAGGTTAATGGAAAGCTTGTTTTCTAATTCTTATGTTAGCTGCAAAATGTATAAACATAATTGTCTGAATGAAATTTCTCTTTTCTTGATATTTATGGAATAAATCTCTGTAGTAGTAAATTCATTACTGTTTGAGAAGTTTTTTTTTTAATTTAATTATTAAAGAATTGTTTTGCAAAGTAATGAATTTAATCAAATGGGAATCAATATTAAGCAGTTAACATTGTAATCTTTTTTTTTTTTTTTTTTTTTTTTTTCTTTTTAAACAATTGTTGACTGTCATTATTACGTTCTATTCAGAATAAGATTTTCCTACAAATGATTGATTTATCTGACGATATTTGACTTATGGCTTCCTTATAGATCGATGTCATTGTTTGCAAGAATTGTGGCACGCTGCTATGCAATATGTCACAAATGATTAGTGTATCAACAGATGGAAACAGTGCGCATTACGTTAATCCAGGTGGGTACTTGAGTTTCTGCAGTAATGTGGTGGTACTATAGACTATACCGCAAAATCAATTATAATTTTTTTTTTTTTTTTGTTTTTTATTCACGGGCTTTTTTTATTTATCAAAAAAAAAGTTAGGATTGTTTTGATACAGAACACTACAAAGCTTGCCTTGTGCTTTTTGAAAATTTAGCTTTTGTTTTCTAGCTTTTTGCTATATTTTTTTAATATTTTATTGTTTGCCAGCTGCTATTCACAAAGCATATTTTTAGGTGGTTATGTACATGATTTATTTACTGTATCGGAAGTAGTTTCAACGTTAGCACGTGGGACACCGTCAGCCGAATGCTCTTGGTTTCCGGGGTTTGTTATTGAAACATTTTTTGATGAGGAAAAGGGGATAATTTGAATGATAAGTATCATTTTACAATATCTAGAAATTTGCCTATAATATTTTCAGTATAGATTTCAGTTAAAATTAGTTGGCAAGGATTACTGAAATTATGAATTTATCCGCATTATGTAATCTGATAAAGGATGGTATAGTTTAAAATGTTCCACATTGTTCGATAATTCCGGAAAAAATACGAAAGGTACTGTATGGAACAAAAGGTCAAATTGTATAAATGCGTAAAATGCGGTAAAAGTGGGATGAAATTTTAGTTACAAATGGACTATTCATGAGTGCTCACACTGTGGACAGCATGTTGGTTGGCGTTTTACCAGTTCAGACTTGTCACCAAAGTCGTTCTTCGGTTTGACACGACGTTCAATTCGACCTGCTGATTCACGACGTCCAATCACTTCCACTATTCAACGTATTGAACAATTAGCTATTATCTGAATGTTATTTTCCAAGTTTAAGGAAGATTTGCTTAAAGTTCAGAGCAAATTTAATGAGTGAAAAAAGCAATGAAGTGGTAATGTAACTGAATTGCTAAAAAAAGGGGAAAGTCAATACATTTGTCGATATAAAAAAAAAAATGGTTTCGTAAGATTACTGATTTTATCTGATCCACATTTGTCCTAATTGCCACGGGGGAAAGGAGGGGGAGAAATGTGTAATAGATAAACTATAATTTTAACTGGTAATTTTCCGAATCCTTTTCTTTCAAACTACAATTTCTTTCACAGGCATTCAAGTGGCTGAGCAACAATACAATATATGATACATGATGCGTTGTTGTACATAAACAATGGGGAAAACATAAAGAATTCGCAGGCGACTTTAAAAATTCCTTTCACATATTTCCTTTTCCACGTCTTTTATGCGTAGATCTCTCGCAGTTACTATACGCAGGAATTTTAACCGGATTTGTGGGAAAATTCGCGCTACTTACCTTCAGTTCCCGATAGAACATGTTTCGATAATCGATGTTTGTTTTTCTCACCACTTTCAAGCACTAGAATTTGTTTTGCTAATTGATGTTATCAGTTTGTTTCATTGTAAGTACTTAATGGTATTAATTTCTCAAGCATATACCCTTACCAAATTTTGATCTTTATTAAGAGAGGAAAATATAGGCATCTTCTGAGATAAAATTTGCTTTTTTTTTTGCATTGATCTAATTTGAACTTGCCATAAGGCATTTTTTTTAGTCTGTGTGCTTCTATTATTTGATTAACGTATATTGCTTTGCTTCCTTCCAAACATAGAATGAATCAGTTTCCTGTTGCGTCTAATGTTCATGTTCTTGTCATATGTAATGTTAATCTTTTGTATCATCGAGACGGAAGATCTGAGGGAAGAGTGAGAAAGGAATTTGTGAGGAGTAACGAAGAGGACATAGAGGATATTTTTTAGGTTAGAGTTTTAGAGTAATGGCCAAGGGACTGAGATTCTTCAGAAGTGTGCAGTGTGTGAAGTGAATCTGTAACTAAAGTTAGTTCACATGTGTATAACGGTTTAAACCGCAGTACTTTATGATTATTGCTATAATTTAAGGCACAATATTGTACAATTTATTTATATTGTTCAAAATTTCCAGTCACTGAAACAGTAGATTTAGCAATTAAATCATCTTTCACTGCTTATATAATGGTACAAAATATATTTTGTACATAAAAAAATATGACTCATAAACATTTCACTAATTCATCATTACAACATTTCCTTTCCTGAACAAACGAACATCTTTACTTATTGCTGAAGGCGAAACATTAAAGTATCAAAGTATCAAACTGCAAAGTCCAGGTCTCCGCTCCATAATTTTATTTGTTGATCTTCCCTTCCTTTTCAAAATAAGTATTAGCACCAGCAAAACAAGTAAGATATAGTAATGGATATCATCTTAGTATTAAGACATATGAATGATATGTCGGGCCTCCCAGAGTTATCTTTTTCCTGAAGTTTTGTTTTCTAGAGTTATCATCATGTAGTTAACTGTATATTTTCTTCCAGCTAGAAGCCCAAATAAGTAATAAAGCGGTTCTATATTGCATTAACCAGGCTCTTTTGCTTATGATTTCTCAAATTACAAGCATGTCTTACTATGGTTAAACTTTTAGTTATTTCATATTCCTTTAAAATTTACACTAAAAAATGTTTATTGTCATTGGTTCTGAAAAATATACAACTTGATAATATGTACATTGCACTCAGAAATAAATCAGATTCTGCACATGAAATATAATTATACAAACGCTAACCACTAGTACATATTGTCTGTGTGGTCATAACATTGCCCGTTTTTTTTGTCACCGTTTTACATTTCTGTCCTGTAAATATGCTTTTCAGTTTAAACAAGTGCAAAGAACGACCGAAATTCTAAAATTTTTATTTTTGTATTTCTAAACGTTTTTTAGAAATACGAAAATATGTTTTGCTTTTTAAACAAACGCTGGATGCATCAATTTTTTAACTGAAAATTGAGTCCAAGTTTTTTAGAAGTGTCTTCTTTTATCCCACTTTAGGGCAAATCATTCCACCCCGCTTTAGTCATTTCTCTCTTATCGCAATTAGTAGACAGTGTTAAAGAAATACCTCCTTGGCTTGTTTCTTTCATGTACATTGAAGCTGGATTTTGGAAATCTCCAAAATGTAACCCATCAATTCCACCGAGATCCCCAGTACTTCCAAAACCACTAAAAGATGGAAACATATCGAAGCCTTCCCAAAGATCATCAAATAAGCTGTGACCATGCCAGTGCGCATCAAAATGGGATTTGAAATGCGCGTCTTCATGAGTTTTTCGGTGAATATTCATACCTAAAACATTTGCAATACCATAATTCGTACACCAAAGATTCAAAATATACACATTTTTAAAACGCAGCTAGGGAAGTCAGATAAAATGGTTATGCGAAAATATTAACTTTGTGATATTACCAATATAACATATTAATTTCTAGGAAATTTTGTTTTATAGGAAGTTTATTTGCCGACATTTTTTTGAACCACTCACTGAAAATATGAACTTCAATGCATTCTGTGAAATGCTACAAATCTTATTAAACCCATTTTAAAAGACTTCTAAATTTCGGAAAACGTGGTAAATAATCATACTTTCTTGGAAATTATGCATGAACGTATCGAAGTCGAAATTCTGCGCATGCTGCTGCTGCTGATCATACGACCAACCGCCAGCATCATAATTTCGCCGTTTTTGCTCATCAGCAAGTATTTCGTATGCTAAAATATCTATACTGTACAACTCATACAAATCATTTCTCAGCTTCAATAAAAGAATCGAGCCATGAGACCCCAAAAGTAAATGCAAGGGATCAATCTCCCTTTCGTTGTTTCTTTCTTTCCCACTGACACACTATTAAGAATCCATTTGATGACGAGGTTGCTTCACGAGCTTGAATTATTGGATGCATTCCACACTAGACATATCTTCCAGTAAACAGCAATGGGTAATTAAGAATAAATCGTAAAATTTTGAACAGTTTACAAGAGTTACACAAAAAGACTGTAAGTAGATGTCCTACTTAACGCTACGGGTTAGAAAAAAAAAAAACACTTTATATTTTAGAATAAAAGAAAAAAATTTTCTGTTCTCCTAAATGTACAATAAAACAAAAAATAGGACTCGAATATGGCTATCATTTAATAAGTAATGTTCTGAAGTAAATTTCGAAAAAATGTGGTATTAGAAACTTAACTAAATTATTCGTACGGTAGAAAATAAGATTGTTTAGCTAAAATCCAATAAAAATTTGATATGAATCAAATAAAAAAAAAAGAATATTACCTGCTGCAATTTCTCGGAATTTCTCATGTGCATTTGGATCACTATTTCTATCCGGATGGTACTTGAGTGCCAAATTCCGGAATGCTTTCTTAATTTGTGCAGTTGACGCGTCACGTTTAACTCCTAATACCTCGTAATAGTCTCTTGCAGCATTAACAAATAACATAAATAAGTGTAAAATAAAGGCAACATCTGTCGACCGCATCCCAACACACTTCAAAGTAACACTGACAAGTCAAGTCCACGTGTCCTCCAAATGCTACGCCACGTCAGCCAAGAAATCATAGAACGAAGTTGGACGACTTGCAGAATACCGCCGCGGCTTATGAAACAATCATTTGCAATTACTTCTGTAAAGGCTTTTTCCGGTTTTTGCCGTAAAATGGCAGATGACGTTGTGTCATTTCCGGATTTTCACAGGGGGAGGGCTAAGTTATTCTGGCTATTTTTTTTTATATAAATTGTATGATAGTAGTAAGAAGGAAAAATTGAGAATAGTAATTGTATGAATGTGCTAAATAGTAATTGATGTAGTGAGATGTTTGTTCAATTACTTGGATTTTGTAGGAAATTCGACTCAAATATTTCATTAATAAGTGAAGTGATAATAACTGAATAGTTGTAGTTCTGGCTGCTAAAACTGCTAATGATTACGCAACGAATTAAATGACTGAGAGCAACTCTTCGTTTTAGTTATTTTTGTTTCCTTTACTTCCCACAATTAAGCTCAAGTACACTTGGCGTCTTTAAATAATCAGTTGTTTACTTTCTTTTGTTATCTATAGCAGATTGTAATAAAGTGAAAGTATGTTAGTGACATTATTTTAAAATAATAGCAAAAAAGAGCAGGACGATATTTCGATACGCTTACTTTTCATGCTCACTGTATATTTGTTTAACTTTGTTTGTTTTCCCACTGTACTATTATTAGTAAAAATGATATGAATTAATGAAATGAAGTGAATGGAATGATCACTTTTCTTTCGAGCAAATATTTTTTTCTAAAATATATAAGCAAGAAAGAGTATTTGCAGGATTATTCAGATTTGTTTAAAACTGTTATTTCGATGCCATTCAATCGTTTGCGAGCAGCAATGATGGTTTTTGTTGCTGAAATTTTTCTTGGAACGAAAGATTTTTGAGATGGAAATGTAGTTTAGGAAATTCAAATACAATGACACAGTCCGAAGAAGTAAACTTTCTTCTGCAGTCCGAAAATTAACCGTCGTCCAGTTTTGTACAATATCGATTTTGTTTTTTTTTCGTTTTTTTTTTTTTTTTTTGATGAAGTAGGAGTGTAATAGATTTGATAATATTGATCAGTTTATCTCTGGCAGCTGTTCAAATATTAAGGATATTTTCAAAGGTTTAAACATCATTTTGTTTTGTGCAGTTATTCTATCTGAAGAAAATGAAGTTCAGAGTGATTACAGTGAATTGGAAGAGATGAGCAAGTAAAGACTGAATGATTCGAATAATTAAATTTAATTACTTAGATAGGTTTTTTGCTAATGACTTTTTTGATTACTATTATGGTGTGCACGAAAGGTAAACGAATTCTTCGATGTTTTAGGTAATGTACATATGCAAAATTAAATTCGATATATCACACAAAATCACTCCATAGTTTTTCATTAAAAGTTGTGGAACTATCAGGTGTTATTTTGTTACTCTATTTTTTCATTCTAGAGGATCAAGTTTTTGTAACTCATTTTCAGAAAAATCGATCAGGTCGAACAATATTTGCATCTCTGGCAGCTGGAGCATGCGCTGGTGCCATAGCCAAAACCTCCATTGCGCCACTTGATCGTACAAAAATTAATTTTCAAAGTAACTGCTTATTTTGCATTCATACTAGGCATTCATGGAATATTTCTTTTTCTTTCCTAAAATAAGGTTAGAAGTATAATATTTAATTTAGTTTCTGGCGATGCTCACTATTCATTAAAGTCAGCTCTTAATTTTATTAAAAACACGTACGAAACAACCGGTTTAATGTCGCTATGGCGTGGTAATTCGGCAATGATGGTACGCATTGTGCCATATGCAGTAATCCAATTTGGAGCGCATGAAGAGATCAAACACATACTACGAGTTGATAAGGATGGGTAAGTATCTTGGACCCTAGATAGTGTGGCATCTTTTCGTATTATTGAAGTATTTAACATATTTGGTGGTTTTTTATTTTGGCCTATTTGTCTCGAATGTTTGCTTACAGGTTATAATGCTTCTGAGAAAATTCCATTTATTTTACGCTGTAATTCAGCTACGAGATTATTAATCGTAACATTCCTAAATTTAATACTGTTTCTAACTCGATTCTAGGAGTGTGTTTTCATTGAAGTTTTGTCTTTATTATTAGACTATTAAAATTTGATTTTATAGGAAATTCTTTTTTATGCTGAAATAAGGTTTCAAATATATAAGGTGGTTGACTTCTAACTATTCAGGATAAGAACTCCAGTGAAGCGTTACATTGCGGGATCTTTAGCAGGAGTAGTTGCAACAACATGCACATATCCACTAGATACAGCTAAAGCACGTTTAGCTACATCAACCGTCAATGAATATAGTTCCTTACTAAATGTTTTTGTCAAAGATTACCAAAGATACGGTGTCAGGTATGTGATTTGCCAAATAATTATGCTATTTTGATGTACATTTAATTTACTTGATTACATGTTGTGTTTAATGTAATTCAAATAGAATATAAATCATTGTTTAGAACACATGATTAAACTACAGGTCTGCATGGGTTTTTCAATTATAGTCGTAAAAAATGGAATATTGAATTCCACAGTAATATTTTAAGGAATAATATTTATTCATCTTAATATGTTTATTGTAATAATGTAATAATTATTCCTTAATATATTAAGAAATAATTATTCATCATCTTAACAGTATGCGAAAATTTTAATTGCAGAACGTTCTACAACGGTTTAATTCCAGCTTTGATGGGAGCCATACCTTATGCGGGCGCCAGTTTTTTTATTTTTGAGACACTTAAATTGATTTATTTTGGTGAGTTCTTGGTTGCATTTCATTTTCTCATGTGTTCTTTCATCGGTTGCCTATGAGAACAACGACAAAATAACAGTGATTAGATGATTAGATAACAATGATTGGAGGTTAAAAATATTGATTTCCAATCCCAAAATGTTTATGTGTCCAAGACATTGTGTATCGCTCTTTTTTATGTCCATTTTGAAAGTAGACACCTAAAGCTAATTCGAGGAATCAACATTCAGTGATGTCTCAAGGAACAACAAACTATGTATTAAAATTTAGCGAAAAACTAATATAAATCCTGAGTATACTTTTTTTTTTCTACGTAGTTTATTTTCTATAAATTTCTTCAAATAATTTGTCACAGGAAAAAATTTCATTTTGATATTAAATTTTTAGCAATTTGTAAATTGGAAAGTTTAATTTTATTGTAGAAAGAACGAACAAAGAGGTTCCATCCGTGTATCGTCTTCTTTTCGGTGGTTTTGCTGGTTTAGTTGGTCAGTCCTCGTCCTATCCGTTCGATATCGTACGACGTCGCATGCAAACACTCCGTATCCCTACTGGGCATAATGTTTTCTATAGTCTATATGTAATCGGAAAAACCGAAGGCGTCAAAAATGGTCTTTATAAAGGTCTCAGCTTGAATTGGATTAAAGTAAGTCTAAATTAAACAATTCATGAAGGTGGCTTTGTTGATTAAAATTTATCGACGATCTGAGAGTATGATCTGTGATCTGTTTTGCACGAATCTTTTGACATATCTTGTGCAGATATTCCTTCCGTCCTATGATCTCCAGATTACACAAGAAAGCGGTTGTAATAAAAACAATTATTTCTTAAGTTTTGGTGCCGATTTTGAAAGTTATGGTTCAGCTCTGAGAGTAGGAAAGTCACTCATGCAGTCCGATGGAAGTTTTGATTATTTAGGAATACCGAAATACAGATTTATAAGGAAATGTAATATTTCAGGGTCCGATTGCTGTTGGTATTAGTTTTACAGTGTATGATACTGTTTATATGCATATCAATCAGCTACTGGAAGTTGAAGCTTTGAACCGATAGTAGTTATGAAGTTGAAAGATGAATCAAATTTTTTAGATGGCCAAAATAAAATTGCAGCAAATGCTTATTTGTCTTGTATATTTGTTTAGGTAATTTTTTAAAAAAAAAGCCTGCAAATTTTAATTTGTAAAGTTTTAAGACAACTTGATTCTCGAATTAACCACACATTTAATATTCTGTTTTTGTAATGATTGAAATTAGTAGATGTTTTTGGTGCATTCATTTATTGCATCTCGGCTATTAAGTGCAATTTTGATGTTTTAATAGAATTGTTTACCTCGTAGTAGTGCACCGACATATTCGTTCTCTGGTTTGTAACCTCGAGGATACAAAAAGCTCATGGACATGAATCACCAAACCGGTTCATTTGTCTCATATATTTTAAGTATATAGATCAATTTCAATATCTAAGCGTCTTTTCAGCATCTAGATTGAAATGAATTTGTTTCACGAAAATCGGTTTTATTTTTAAACTGATGCAGATTGTCCAATTTAGATTTTGGTGCTTTCAGCAGTTTTTAAAGGGTTTTTATGGTATGGTATTGCTCAGTTTCTTCTTTGTGCCTATTTGGAAATTCTCTTTAATTTTGTTTCTTTTCCAAGTTAATGTGAATTCACCAGATTAGTTTTTCCCGCATATAGATTTTATTTGAATTTTTTTTCATTCGTTTTGTAATTCTTGAAACGAAAATATATTGTAACAACATAACTCTGTGATAATGCCTCCTTACGCTTACCTCTCATTTCTACTGACAACAATAGCCAGAATTTGGTTTCCTTATGTTCTACCATATGGAAATAAGTAGGAATTAAAAATTAGAACTATTGCGGTGTTGGTTATGGTTATCAAAAATTGAACAAAGAAAACTGAATTCTTTTAATCTAATACGTCTTTCACACTTTTTAAAATGATTTTTTACCAGTTTATTCAAATTACATCACAATAAGATTTAACAAATTTTCTCAACTTCTCAAAAGAGTAATTTTTTAAAGTTCGAGTGTAGCAATTTCATAAGTCTTTCATAGGTTTGGGAAATTCATCTCAAAATATAATGCTGTTTATTTCATTTCTTCCACATCAATGACAATTTTTGTTAAGTAAATCAGTTTTGATAGTGCATTTTTATTGCTTGGATAATTCTGTAAACATCCGAATGAAGTAGAGTTTTGTTTCAATGAGACAAATAAGTTCAATAAATCATATGATATCTGATAAAAGTTATCATGGTAGTTTCTGTCATATTAAAAAATATTGTTTCATTTATATTTATTATAATTATTGTATATTTCGTTTGCCATATGTAGTTATTTCAATATAAATTTGTGATACGTTTTTTCTTCTGAATAAATTGAATCAAATCCTCCTGAAAGGACACTGTATTCATCAAATTGTGCATGCTATTGCATGAACTGACAGGTTAAACTTCCGAATTCTGCTTGTTTCATTTTTTTTTCTTCAGGAGGAGAAAAAATAGCGGAAAACTAGCAGAATGTGGAGTTGAGTGTTTGGATGTTTAATAATTTAAAATCTCAAGCGATAATTAGAGGATTTTCAATCAAATTTTTGATATCTTCATTCTGAATTTCGTTTGGATTACTATTCGAGAAAAATAGATGAAGGAATTGATATAAGTATTACTGCTGATATATTTAATTTACGAAGTGGTAGTTCTGTCATTTAGGAAATTGACAAACGTTACTAATGAATGATTACAACCAAATCATTAATGATTAGTACGCGAAAATCAAACCTCGTATGACTTACTTTTAAATGTTTCATTATTGTGCATTTTCAAATAATCTTCCTTATAAACCCCGAAAGTTACATATTCCATTTTCACGCAGAATTGTTGTAGGTTGCAGCTGTCGCTCGTAATTAACAATTTTCAGATTTAATCTTTTTTCTGAACCACAGAAATGATAGTTGACACCAATTCCTGTATAGCAATTTTATTACAATTATTGGGTTATTACAACTAAATCATTGCATTAAACACTTGTATCGATGAACTTACTGATTATTTATACAACTTATCAATTCTCGTGCGATATTATTAATAACGTGTTAACTTAAATTTGCAAAGAAAAGAAAATTTATCTAACCAAAAATGACTGTCATTCAATCGTAAATTGCATGGGATGGTAGTTTGCAAGCAGTTCTGCAAAATTCCATTTATTAAACAAATTTGGTAAGCAATCAATCAATCTTTGGTCTCGCTTATACTTTATGTATGAAGCGGACCACTAATCACTGGATGACCCTGTGGCCTTCCGCTAAAGTCAATTTTCAATAATCAATAAAATGGACTCAACGGTATGGCTTTTACCGGTTCTTGAAGTGATCCACATTTTCTTTAAATTTAAGGGTGGGATAACAAATTTCAGAATGACACCGGTAGTGTAACACTGTGCGGATTGTGTCACAAATGTGTTTAGCTGGTTTGTATTCCAGTGGGTTATGTGAATGCTGTTTGTAGGTGGTTTGTTTTTGTTTTCCGGAATGCGTTTTTCCGAATATTGGCATTTTATTAGGAATGGTTTTATGAATAAAGTTTAGTGGTATTAAGAAATCGTCGTAGATTTTTTAAGGTTTTGTTGTTTTAGATTAGATATTAATTAATTAAAGGCTTTGCAATCTGAGGAAAAAAAAAATGACTGTTGGTATTTGTAAATGTATTATCCTTTTAATTATTAAATAATCTTAACAGCTAATGATTTTTTAAGATCTGACCGATTTATTTATATTAAGCTGGTCGAATGTGGAGTGCTTGTGTAATTGTAAAAACATTTTAGGATCAAAAAGTTTTTCCATCAAGTCATCATCACCTAAAAGTGGAAAGTTCTGAAGGTTGCAATAATACAAGCAGCAAAATGGGACGAAAAGCTGTGAAAAATTCAGTACCAACATGTAAGTTACTTTGGTTTTGCCCATGTTTCTTGGTTATATTATTTTCTACAAATCCTAATTAAATATTTGATCCATTTCTGTTTTCAACAAGGTTGGTATGTACCAAAGTAATATAATAGCGTCGACGGTGGTTTAATAGAGAAAGATAACTATTAGTTTGAATCGTCCGTTGTACACTTTCCTTAGCTGGATTCCAGCTTTTGTGATGTACAGCACATCATCCCTTTTTTTACTGACTGGTACACTTACTGACTGTTGCTGTTATATGGAAGAATTTCTTATAAAGTTGAGACATTTTTCATTGAAACATTTAAAATCTTTGAATCCATATATATATATATATATGTTTATCTGCACGTTTTCACATGACAAACGATTCAGTTCTGATATATGTGGTTCTTCAGTTTTGTGCTTTGCTGCTACTACTTTTGATGTGTTGTTGAAGAAGTGTCATGGAATATTATAGTAACATTTAACACATTAGCATTTATGTGTGGGCACTGAAAATAGACTAAATTTTTGATCTACATTTACTTTCATTTTATTTCGAATGGTCTTTTTCGGTACTAATAACTTGAAATGACTTTCAGCTGATCTGAAAACTGGCGATGTAGTTTGGGCTCCATATCGACGTTTTCCGGAGTGGCCAGCACTAGTTTGCTTTTGCTTTTTTTTTTGTTTTTTCTTTTAAAGTATTGAGAAAATGATTTATTATATTGTTAAGTAAATGATTTCTATATTCCTGTTTGAAGCATTAAAAACAACATGAAGTAGTAAATTTCAGGTTCGTTGTGTCTATCCTAAAAAAGTCACGTATACATTTTTGCCAACTGATGAAAGCTCAAATTTGAAGTCATCAATTTTCAGCTGTCCACCACAAAAACTCCGACTTTTAACTGGCAGTGAACCTGTTAGTTTTACCTTTAAACTTTGAAATTTATAACCTTCTTTGAACTGGATGATTGTTAATATCATCTTTATCTATTATAGTTACCTGCTGGAGCAAAAAATGACATGAAGGAAGCCTACAAAGCAGCACTTGAAATATTGAAGAAAAATGGACTTTTAGGTGCTGATCATCAGATGTCAGGTACAGTCAATATATTAAATTCAGTTTAAAATCTTCTGATTTCATAGAAAAGAATGAGATAAAAAGATTGAAGGCTTTCTTCATCATGCGAATATTTTTCTTTTATCAACTTAAAAATGATGTGGAAATTTACCGATCATATAAATGCATAATGAGAGATTTATCAGAATGTATTGCCAGAGTTTAACAGTCATTTCTGCAGAAGAATTAGCAGTATTTAAAGCAAGCGAAATCAATAAACAGAGCGTTCTGGGTGACCTTGTAAAGAAGGCCAAGAAAGACAGTGATGCAGCAAGTAGCGGCGATACGGCAAGTAATGGAAGCGCACCTCATGTTTGGGGTATTGGTGAAGTTGTCTGGCTCAGTATGCCAAATCATTCAGAATGGCCAGTTGTGGTAAGTTTTAATAAAATTTAATAGCCAGGTGGTACTGGATTTTCTCGAAACCTAATCCTTGATTCTTTTTTTTAGAAATAATTAGATTTTATGTTATATTGGAATTCACTTAGTACGTGAAATCCGAAAGTAACTTTTCTAGAAGATAGAGAGTGGCAGTTCTGTTCTTCACTTCTTGAATAATGATATTTAGAATGTTTCTGGTTCTGCATAATTGTTGAATATACATCTCCCTTGAAATTGATTTAAAAAAAAAAAAAAAAAAAACAGTTTTCGTGTATTATACCCTGAATAAGCCAAAACAAAATATTTCATGTGAAAGCAGTACCCATTGCATATTTACCTATTGATATTTTTTATCGATATTATAGTAGTTGAGAAATGCTTACAAATAAATAATTTCAGATCCGTGAATTGAAAAAGAAATTTGCAATGGTGGATGCTTTTCCACTCAAATTTAATTGTAAACCCGAGCGTTACCCATTGAGTGCTTGTCAGAAATTTGAATTAACAGGCAAAAATTTGGAAACAGCCATTAGAAAGGTTTTTTCATAGCATAATTTATTCATCAGGATAGCTACAATTTTTTATTTATGAAGTAATTTT